TTAATCCAATGCTTTTTCATAGCCAATAAAGTGTAGAGGGATCGGATTAGCTCTGAGCCTTTCTGTCAGCTATATGTGTATAAAGAATATAATTTGCAAAAGTTGTCTTATACTTTCTTCAGTGATCCCCTCCATCCAGTCCTTATAATAGTTTTGTAGAGATGGGAAAATGGGCAGACTGGGGTCAATAGGTATTGATATTTTCATGGTAATAATGTCTGTGAAATCTTCCAGTTGATATCTTCCTCTCTTTCAAATAGCTGGAGGATCAATACCTCAAAACTATTATCTCTAGAATGGACTCCCTGCTTTGTTTAGTTCAACAGCTCTTACCATCTTTTCTGTTTTCCTTAGTGCTCTTTTGGGGTATCGAGGTGATGCAGTGGATAGAGTGCTGGGCCTAGAGTCAGGAAGACACATACATCTTCCTGAATACAAATCTGGCCTCAGACATTTACTAGTTGTGTGACCCTGGGCAAATCACTTAACCCTGTTTGCCCGGTTTCTTCATCTGTAATATGAGCTGGAGAAAGAAATGGCAAACCACTCCAATGTTTGCCAAGGAAACCCCACATGGGGTCACAAGAGAGTCAGACACAACTGAAACAACGGAACAATAGTAATAGTGCTCTTTTGGCTTCCTCATACAAGGCACTGGAGAATATGATGGTAGAGGTCAAATGTAGTGGATCCATTATGATTGATGGAGAAAATAATTTATTATGATAATCTAGGCCAGTGGTATCAAACTCAAATAGAAAACAGATCTCTGCAGGCTGTGTATTGACTTAGAAAACCACAAATAACATTGTGTTTGTTATATTTTTATTTTGTTAAATATTTCCCACTTGTATTTCCCCTGCTTTATTTTTGTATTATAAGCTTTAATGATGTTTTCTGTTTCTTATATCACCATTGTATCCCTTGTATCCTTCCCTTTTCCTCTCCCAAAGAGCCATCCCATGTGACAAATAATATTTTTGGAAAGAAAAAAAGTCAACACAGATGATTGATACATTGGAAAAATTCCAATAACATGTACAGTGTGTAATACCTGTGGCCCTTCTACCTTCTCACAGAGGTAGATTGGAGGTGTCTTCTCTTATGTCTTCCTTTTTTTTTCTTTTTTTCTTTTTTTCTTTTTAAGCAATTGGGGTTAAGTGACTTGCCCAGAGTCACACAGCTATTAAGTGTCAGCTGTTTGGTCTGAGGCCGAATTTGAACTCAGGTCTTCCCTGACTTCAGGGCCAGTGCTCTATCCACTGCACCACCTAGCTGCCCCTCTCTTATGTGTTCCTCTGAGTCTCACTTCATCTCTTTTTTTTCCCCCCAAAATTCTTTGTTTTTATTGTCTTTTAGAAAGAAAAAATAAAGAACATTTCCATGTACACAGCAGAACATAAGAGAGGATTCAATATAAAACAATAAATTTCCATTTCAAGCAAACCTATATAATAAATACTACACATTGTTTTCAAAGCTACCCAGCTTTTTTTGGCTTGCTTTTAGGTTTTCTTTTGTTCTCTGCTATACACTTTTTACTTTACTTTTTTCACTCTTACTCCTCCCCACCCCCTACCGCAAAAGAAGGCTACAGTTAAACTTGGATATGTACATACACACACACACACACACACACACACACACACACACACACACACACACACACACACACACATATATACAAAGATATCTATAAGCATACACATATATACACATATACAGTCACATACGTGTATGTAAGACCATGCTATGCATAATTCCACTTGTCATGTCTTTCTCTGAAGGTAGATAGCATCTTGCTATCTAGCATAAATGCAACATAGCATCAATACTCTTACATTTTCCCAGTCACCAATGGAGTAAAGCAAGGCTGTGTGTTGGCTCCCAGGCATTTTCTTTTCTTTTCTTTTCTTTTCTTTTCTTTTCTTTTCTTTTCTTTTCTTTTCTTTTCTTTTCTTTTCTTTTCTTTTCTTTTCTTTTCTTTTCTTTTCTTTTCTTTTCTTTTCTTTTCTTTTCTTTTCTTTTCTTTTCTTTTCTTTTCTTTTCGCAATGGGATTAAGTGACTGCCCAAGGTCACATAGCTAGTAAGTGTCAAGTGTTTGGTCTGAGGCCGCATTTGAACTCAAGTCCTCCTGACTTCAGGGCCGGTGCTCTATCCACTGTGCCACCTAACTGCCTCTCCCATGCATTTTTGTGTGATGTTTTTAGCAATTTTGTCAGATGCTTTCGACAAGAATAAAATAGCATCAAGGTCAGTTACTGCATTGATGGCAAATTATTTAACTTTAAAAGGCTATAAGCCAAGAGTAAAGTGGAGGGAGAATTGGTGCATGACTTTTTGTTCGCAGATGATTGTGCACTCAATGCATCCTCTGAGGCTGAGATACAACAAAGTATGGATCAGTTCTCTGCTGCTTTTGCTAATTTTGGCCTAACACCAAAAATACACAGGTTCTACACCATCCACATGTGGAACCATTGGTTAGAGCAAATGCAGTTTTGAACACTGTGGGTATGCTTGGCAGTATACTTTCCAGGAATGTTCACGTAGATGATGAGGTTGACTCATGCATTGCCAGAGCTAGCTCTGAAGGAAAGTGTGAGAGAGAAGAGGTATTAGACTGCTTACAAAATTGAAGATCCACACAGCCATTGTGTTCACGTCATTGTTGTATGCCTGTGAAACCTGGACTATATACCTGCAACATGCCAGGAAACTGAAATGCTTGCATTTGAAGTGTCTTAGGAAAATTCTGAAGATTATATGGCAAGATAAGGTACCAGACACTGAGGTCCTTTCTTGAGCTAAACTGCCAAGCATTCAAACTCTACTTCATAGAGCACAAATTCAGTGGGCTTGCCATGTTGTTCAAATGCCAAATGTATGTTTACCTAAGAAACTATTTTACAGAGAACTCACACAAGGCAGGTGCTCACAGAGGAAGTGATACAAGGATACTCTCAAGGTCTCTCTGAAGAACTTTGGAACTGATTTCCTGGCATGGGAGACACTGGCACAGAGGGCAGCATGGTGTGCCCTCATCAAAGAAAGTGCTGTGCTCTTATGAGCAAAACAAAATTGCAGTAGCTTGCAAGAAATGTGAGACATTCAAATTTAGAGACCTCTCCACTCCAAAAATTCACGTGGACTATTTGTGTCTTACCTATGGTAGAGCCTTCTGACCTTGTATTGGTCTGATCAGCTGCAGTTGGACATACTATACCTTGATTCCCAACATAATGATATCATTTTGGTCTTCCTTGAGAATGAAGGACAACAACCAACTTTATATACATATCTAGATATATATGTATGTACATACACACATATGTACAATTTTTCTCTTTTCAGATTAAAGTCCTTTTGATTATATTTTCAAGTCACTGGGTAAATATATTGTCTACCATGAGACCTTTCTGATACCTCCAATTGTTAAGAAATCTCAGCTCCCCCAAATTACCTTTCTACATATATTGTATTTGCTTATATATGTATGCATAGTATGTTCCCCTATTCATAAGCTCCTTGAGAAACTTCTACCCCACTCTTCTGATTGGTGAGTATTTTCTCCTGGCTCACTATTTAGGAAAGTCCTACTCTTTGCCCCTTTCCACAGCCTCACCAGCCACATTGCTGCCCTTGTACCTGTTTATCTTGGTCACCTTATCACCCACCTGTGCCTGCTCTTCTCCCTTCCTGCCTTCTCTCCCACACCTCAACCTGAGCCACCCACTTTTTGCCTTTTGCTCTGGGAACAGTAATCAAATTACTGCTATCATTGCTTGTGGAAAGGGTACATCATTATATTCCCTCTGGTTCTTACACTTTTCCTGTGATTTCTCAAAGCAAAGAACCACTCTTTTATATACTGTCCACTCACTAAAATGTGAATTCTTTTGGGGCAGGAACTGTCTTGCTTTTGTTTTTGTATCCCCAACACTATACTTGTAAGTACTGAATAAATAATTTTCATTCATTCATTATTCATGAGTTGATACTGCCCCAAATTCACCATTCTGCAAATAAGCTGGTGATAAGTCTTTCTCAACTTTGTTAAGCTGGTCCTCAGACAGCAGACATGCAGTTCATCACTGGGCCTGTACTTCAGCTCTTCTAATCTGGTAGTACCCTCCAGAGTATGTGTTTTTGACAAACCCACAGTCGCTTCTGTCCCACAATGTAGTACTTTGTCATGTAGAGAAGGTGTTAAGATCAAATGAGATAACAAAATTTGTCCATTATAACACTGTATAAATTATATATATGTATACATACATGCATGTGTGTGTGTGTGTGTGTGTGTGTATATATATGTATATATATATATATATATATATATATATATATATATATATATATATATATATGTATATGTATATGTATATGGCAGCCATCATGACTTAGTGAGAAATAGCCAATGAAAATTTTTGAACAAAGGTTCACTGATACCAAAAGAAGCAAAGCCTGGCAGAGGTGTGAGGATGGATCTAGGGGAGAGGAAAGTAGAATTGACAAGACCTGCTAGAAGGCATTGCAGCAGTACCAGATGCCTCAGTATTGAGGGCCTATTCTGGAATGGTGACAGTGGGAATAGAGAGGATGGAACAGATTTGAGAAAGATTTTGGAGGTAGACTATTTTTTTTTGGTCAGGCAATGGGGTTAAGTGACTTGCCCAGGGTCACACAGCTAGTAAGTGTTATGTGTCTGAGGCCAGATTTGAACTCGGATCCTTCTGAATTCAGGGCCGGTGCTCTATCCACTGCGCCACCTAGCTGCCCCTGGGGGTAGACTATTACCAAAAAGAACATATGAAACCACATGTAAAAGTGCAACAATTAAAGATTTTGTGATTCAGAGAAATCCATATAAAGTCTTTTTATTTTACAAATGAATCTTTTAACTTCCTGACATGAACTGAAAAAGATTAGAAAATTGGCATTAATTTATGTTTCTGTTTATTCAGCTTTATTCTGATGACTTTTTTTTTTCTTTCAGGGTTTGATCAAAATGTTGGCTTTGTTACAAAAACAGGATCCAAGTTAGACTTTTATCTGGGAAACAAGTGCACAGAGTGTTAAGGAATGTCTGTTCAAGAGTTTGCGATAAATAAACATGCCATTCTTCCTCCTATCATTAGTAATCATGATAAGGAGTTTTTGGAAAGAATGCAGAGATACATAATCACAGAAACTGAGAGAGTGGGCTGTACTGATGAAGGACCAGCTGATGAATATTTCATCATATACCGAAATGTGTTTGACAAGGTAATATAGTACTTGAAGAATTTAAAAAATTTATTTGTGAATGACAGTGTGAGACCTCCTTCTCTGACCTAAATGCTCTGCCTCTTTCTAGTAAAGAGGAAATAGTATATTGTTTCCAGAAGGGATAGATATGGAGTACAATATAGATTATAAATGTTAGTACAATATTAATGTCTACTTGTTAACTCAGCCTAAGCCCAATCATTTTTCCCTCAAATAAGTCAGTTTTGATTCTTAGACTAGAACCTGGTCATATAAGCCAGCTGCTTTCTGATTTTTTTTTACTCACAAGTAGCAGTTGTGGCATTTTTATATCATCAGTCTCTGTCATCTGTCAGGAGCAAGCTTGAAAACAGGAACCTGTTGCCATTTTGTTGCTGACGTTTCAGCCTGATTTTAATCCAGGGATTTAGGATTGTAGTTTATCCAGTGGAGAGAGGTCTGTTCTGAACTAGAGGTTTGGCCTATAGGTATAGATTTGGTGAACAAGGCATTAGATCACAATTGCTCGTTGGACAAATTTGACATTGTTCCCTGGCTTCTTGATCCTGGTTGCCTTCTGTGCCAGTTATGTGCTGTTGCTTAGGCCATCTCCCTGCCTGAAATGTTCTCCTTTCTTACCTCCACCTCTGGAAACTCCAGGCTCCCTTCAAGGCGTAGGTCAAATGCCAGCTCCCACCTCCATCTGTGAAGGTAGCCTCTGAGGCTGCTTGGTGTCTACTCATCTGTGGATGAGATGCTTCCTCTAGTAGAATGTAAACTCTTTGAAGGCAGGGTCTGCTTATTTTGTTTTGCATCTCTAGCATCCAGCTCAGTTTCTGTCCTGTAGGAAGACAAAGGGACAGGGACTTGTGGCTCATTAGCACAGGGGAGTCCTAAATGAAGGCTCCTCCCCATCCCCAACCCAGTTCTGGTCAGCACATTCTCTATAGTGCTACTTAGAGGGTTGCTTTGGGAACTGAGAAGTTAATGACTTTTCCCGGGTAACACAGCCAGTGTATGTCATTGGCAAGACTTGAACCCAGATCGTATTGGTTCCAAGGCTGGCTTTCTGTCCACTACATCATGATGCCTCTCAAATCATGTGAGAATTAAAAGATTTAATTCGTTGAATAATTATTTTGTGGTGATAATGGATAGATCAAGAACAGGGAGTTATTTGTTGTTTCAGTTGTTTCAGTCATGTCTGACTCTCTGTGACGCCAAACATATTGCCAAGAATTTGGTTTGCTCTTTCCTTCTCTAGATCATTTTATAGATGAAGAAACTGAGGCAAACATTTAAGTGACTTGCCCAAGTTAGTAAGTGTCTGAGGCCAGATTTAAACTCAAGTCTTGCTGACTCCAGGCCTGACACTCTCTCCACTGTGCCATCTAGCTGCCCCAGGGAGTGGTAGGCTCTTAATAAATGCTTGTTGAATTGACTAGAATAGCTCTCATTTAACCTAATACTGACTGATCAAGAACACTCTATGCAGCAAGGACAGCATTAAAGGATCCTATTATTCATGATTAAAGGAGACCCCATATTAAAAGAAAACTCAAACAAACCACTATTGTCTTCAGTCACTGTTACTAAAGTGCATCTGACTTGTTTCTCATGTATTGTACAGTTGGACAGGACATCTTTACTGTACGTGGTTGACTGTGATAATTAGATCGAGTTAGTTTTTTAAAAAGAAGTTTCTGAATTTGTAGGAATAATTTTTACCTGCCAACCACACATAGAGACAACCTTTTTCACAGACTTGTAAAATAACCAGGCATAGAACCTGATACTTTTTTGCCTTTTAAAGGTAGGTTCACAAACACAGAGTTTTCATTTATTCATTCAAGAGTTATACCCTTCCTACTGTCAAAAGACAACTCCTTTTGAACTTATAGATTAAAATATATTACAAAACAAAATTTCATTTGAGGATAAAATAATCAAATCTATCTGAAAGATACAACGATGCTTTCAGACATCTCAGGTGAACAGATTCGGCGTTCAGGGAACAACTTAGGTTTTTTTGGCTAAGGCAGAAAAGAAAACACTTTAGGGCCCAGTATATTATAAGATTTTTAAAGATAAGGACTGTTTTATTTTGTTTGCATTTGTTCTCACACCCTTAACAGTACTTAGTCAAACGATCTGCATACCAGGTGCTTAGCAAATGGTGATAAATTTAAAAAATCCAGTTGTGGTTTAAGTTTGCTAAATGTTTATTTGTAGAATTCTAATTATAATCTCATATCATTTCAAAGTGATCTGTGACGCTGTTTGCAAGGCTTTTGTTTTATGTTCTCTTAGAATGAATTTAGTACCATAGTCAGGAAAATAATGTTTTCAGATAATAGAGCATGTCACCGCATACAAAACTATTCTTACTTCAATCAAGCAAGAATATGATTCATTCATTGAGACAATAAAGAAAGGCCAAAGAAATGCATTTTATCTTCATGGAAAGCTGAAAGTTCTGGCAGCAGAGCCCACAACACTGGTATATCATAGGAAAAGAGTAGTCCAACTTGAAGCAAAGTAAGTATACTAATTTAGATTAAAGGATCATATGAATTAGTGATTACATGATAATTAGGCAACATAACTGTAGTTTAGTGGTTCTTTTTTGTTGGTGTTATTGTAATGCATTTGATTTATCAGTTCTTATCTACCTCATGAAAGTAATACATTCCATGTATATATGCATGTATATATTTAAATTAAAGGGAATTTAACTTACTTTAATTTTGAGAATTTTATAATACCCTTTAAAATAAGGTGAGGTATTCTGGGGGATCATTGCTTTCTGTAGTTAATTTTTCACATACTTGATTTAATTACAATTCTGAACCTGGCTGTACTGTCTACATAAAAGGGCTTTAATCCTGAAGTGTGCACAGGTTAATAACATACAATCAGTTGGTAGAATGCTCATTCTTGTGAAATTTTCTCAAATTATTTTGAGGTGGTCTGGAAAATTGCCAATAAATCAGCTTTGTACGTAGTTTTAAATGAGCTTTGAAAATAACCAGTTTGCAGAATATCCATTGTTCCTTTCCATACTTAGCAGTGTCGTAGAGGAAAGTTGCATTCAACGGGCAAGCGGCCCAGGAAAACTCATTCTTAGCATCATGCTTAACTTTGTATTAACTTTATTTAACAAAGGAAAAATTTTAAATGAATCTGTTTTGTGAGGCCTGACTTCTACTTCCACATTGATGGCAGAGTAGTAGAAAATAAGCCTGAAAATGCTAAGTATTAAGTGCTTTTAGTTCATATATTGACCAACATAAGTATGAGCACTATAAATATGAAATCTTTATCTAGTGATGTACTGTTGGAATAGCTGAACCATATTTTATTACTGATGTTCTCATAATGAATGAAAGCAGAAGACAAATGGTAGGCAGCTAGGTAGTGCCATAGTGGTGCCACAGGGTGCTGGGCCTGAAACCAAGAAGACCTAAGTTCAAATTCAGCCTCAGACACTTAATAGCTATGTGACTCTAGGCAAGTAACTGAACCACTCTCTGCCTCAGGATCCTTATATGTAAAATGGGGATAATACCTCATAGGGTTGTTATGAGGATCAAATGAGATATAATACATCAAGTGCTTTGCAAACCTTGAGGCACAATATAAAGCATAGCTGTCCTTATTAAGTTACAGCTAAATGGAAGGCTGACTCCTTGGAGAGGAAAAATGAGAGTGGTAAAATTGGTTTTACTGTGTAACCAAAGGCAGTAAGAAACCTCCTTTCCTGAGATGCTTGGTTGCCTTGTCTTACAGCGTTCATGATGAAAAGAAATAAACAAAAGACTTGACGTGAAGGTTATTGTAGCTTATGTGCTGTCTGTTGAAGGAGATAAACAGGTACAGGATTTCTGTGAAGAGCTTGATGAGATCTCCCAAACCAAGTTAGCATATACTTTGATACTCAGTGATCTCACTTCAAAGATCAATAAAGAGAAAGATGGCAAAAGTTATGTCAGAAAATATGGTTTAGGTTTAGCAAACAAAAGGAAACAAAGTTTTGTTGATTCGTCTGATAAAAGACCATCTTTTCACACAAGCATGCTTCTGGCCATGCTATATGGCTGTGAATGACCAAGGCATCTAAACATGGCTCATCCAAAGGGGAGGGGAGGGGAGAGAGAGAGAGAGAGAGAGAGAGAGAGAGAGAGAGAGAGAGAGAGAGAGAGAGAGAGAGAGAGAGAGAGAGAGAGAGAGAGAGAGGTGCAGGCATATAGTGGGCATAATTAGGCTGTAGTTTGTGAATGTATAATAGAAAGGGTTTTATTTATTTAAAAAATTGCTTGAACTGTAATCATGCCTAGTATGAAATTTTAGTAACAGTTATGATGAGAAAAAAATGAAGTTAGTTCACTTTTTCAGGCCGTTGGTTAGTGAATATCCACCTGTCAAATAATCTTAAGTATTATCTGAAACCAGTAACCAAAACTCAAGGTAACTGAATAAGATGACAATTCAAAATAAAAGTAATTATTTAACCAATTTTGTTTAACTAGTTCTGGTAATCCGGAGAGTTGAGTCATTTGAAGGAAATGAAAGAAATCCTTTCTTTTTTCTTTCTTTCTTTTTTTCTGTAGGATAAGGGTTATTGAAGCTAATTCCTCCAAGATTCAAAAGCAGCTAAAGAAATTAAGACAAGTTAGGAGAAAGGGCATTGTAAAAGAAGGAAACTATCTCACAACTACCATAAATCCTTCAAGGCCCATTCCAGGTAGGGCATTTTACTTAATATCTTAGAGAGAGTAAGATGTTTGAATTGTTTCCCTTTGTAATATGTTAAATTCACATGTATCTAGATGAAATTCTTATGTGACTTAGGATTAATCTGGGTAGATGTGGATTTGCCTTAAAAAAAAGTGAACATTTATTTAATAAGCCTGAGTGTCCATTTTATTTAATGGATCCTAGGAGGAAATGAAAAAATATTAGAAGACATGGAAAGCCCTTGAAGAGTGTATAGTCTGGTTGGCAGAAATAAAACAGAAACCTATAAAAATGCAATGGTACTGGAATATATTGTGGGAGAAATATCTTTGATTTTGAAATTATTTTGCACTTAATTCCTTTCTTCAATATTAAATCCAAGATGTCACATTTAAAAAGACTCTTGATAAACTTATGAAATAAGGAAGATACAAAATTACTGTCAGTACTGTGAGGGCTCCTTTTTGCTTCTTCACTTGCTAATGGCAGAGTAACAGAATAAGAAGAGGTTGCTACAAATCACATAGTTTTTAGAATGTCTAAAAATATTAACTGTAGGGCAAAAGGGGAGGGGCCTGTTCTTGGCAACCCTGCCCCCCAGGTTGGCAGCCAGGAAAGGGGGACAAGTGACAACAGGGAAAAGCACAGGGGGCATCCACACCCCTTCCACAGGCCAGCTAATGGCTTGAATACGCAGTGAGTTTTGCTTTTAATGCAAGCCCTCCAAGCCACTTAGGGCTAAACTTAGAAAGAGTTTTAGACCAAGAACAGACAAAAAAGTACCCAGCTCAAGGACTGTGCAGTGTATACAAGTAAATAAAGCATATAAACAGAATGAATATAAAATAACTTCTGTGAAATTTAGATTATTAATTGATTGAATAATTAAAGGTTGTAGTTCATCACTAGAATCAGTATTTTATGCTCCTCATTCTACTGGACTCAGTGCCTTGGAAGGGAGGAGGGAAATAAGGAAGATGAGTCATCTGGTGATAAGATGTTTGTCTCTCATGCTGGGCCTTTCTGGTGCTGGGCAATGGTTAACACAGGAATTTCCAGAGGATGTTACTAACTCTGTTTTCCCAGATATCATAGATTCTGGAGACCCCCTCATGTGAAATCAGCATGATTAAGCAAAATGTATGCCCACCTTTCACCTTTGTTATAGATTAATGACAGTCTTAGTTTAGTCTAATCACTGTCAGATGTGTCTTTGGCTACTGAGGAATTGTTGACCTTATTTATTAGCAGTGGCTAGCCTTGCTAATAAATTGATCATGCTTAGAATTTTGTGCTTCAGTCTCTATTGTAGATTTTTATTGGGACAAACTGGGTGGGAGTCTGGGTGGAGATTGGGAAAGGCTTTGTGTAGAAGGGAGCATTTGAGCTGAGCTTAGAAGTAAGTCAGGGTTTTGAAAAGGTGGAGGTGAAGAGGGAGAACATTCCAGGCATAGAGGAGGCACAAAGATGATAGATGGAATGCTGTATATGAGGAACAGAAAAGAGTTCAGTTTGGCTTGAATGTTCATAAGGCAGTCCCATGCGGGATAATCCTGGAAAGCTGGATTGGAGCCAGATTATAAAAGACTTTAAATGCCAAACAGAAGAGTTTAACCCTAAAGGAAATGAAGAATCACTGGAGCTTCTTGAATGAAGAGTGTTGTAGTCAGACCTGTGCTTTAGGAATATCAATTTGACAGATATGTGGAGGAGGAATTTGAGAGGGGAAGGAACTTAAGGTAGGGAGACCAATCAGGAGCCTATTACAGTAGCTCAGGTGAAAGATGATAAAAACTGGGAGAGAAGGGGTCATGTGGGAGATGTTGTAGAATTGAGAAGGGAGAGTGAGAAGTAAAGGATGACTCCAAAGTTGTTTACCTCTGGGTGACTGGAAGGACGGTGCTGCCATCAATAGAAATACAACAGTTTGGAAATGGGGCAGGTTAGGTACCAGTAGGGGAAAAGTGAATTTTGTCTTTGATATGTTGAGTTTGAGGCCTATGAGACTCCCAGTTTGAAATTGAAACTATCCAGTAGACAGTGGTGATTTGGGATTAGAACTCAGGAGAGAAACTGGATGTATAGATCTGGTAGTCATCTTTAGAGATATGGTAATCTAATGCATTAGAATTGATGAGACCACCAAAAGAAATAGTGATGAGAGAGAAGAGGACAGAGCTTCAGGGGACATCTACATTTGGAGTCTGGAGAAGGAGCTTACAGATAGGTAGAAGGAGAACCAAGAGAGAGCAGTGTCTCAAGAACCCAAAGAAGAAGGATTATCCTAGAGTAGGTGGTGGTCAACTATGTCAAATGCTGAATTGAGATCAAGGGTGAGGAGTGAGGAAATGTTGCTATAGATAGGCAATTAAGAGATCATGGGTAACTTTGGAGAGAGCAGTTTCAGTTGAGTGATGAAGGCTTAAGCCAGACTGCAGTGATAGGCATTTGCAAAATATTATCTTAAAAATAACTGCAGCTTATTTGCCAGTTATTGCAGACTATGCCAGTTTCTGTTGCAGAAGGTAGAGAATATAGCAAAATTCAGGAACTCAATGGGACCTCCCAAATTATATCAACAGGTCTTTTGTTACTTGTTGATTTAAATGGGTATAGGGTATAACTGTGGGAAAACACTTAAGTAAATGTATTTAGCAATAGGAGATGAGAGAAGCCAATTGCTTATACACTACCTTGAAGCCACACATCTATGCATCATGAAATCTTTGAGAAAAGTTCTTTTAGGCCTTAAATGGAGGCCACTAACATCACACACAAAAAAAGAAAGAAGTTGGTTGATTGTATTTTAATAGATGAGAAATAGCTAATCATTGATTTTGAAGCCATTCCTGAATCATCTGTCTGTATATATTCGCTTCACTGAATTATTAGTGCGAAGAGCTAAACCCTTTAATCTTTAGCAAGGGGTGTCATGTGTTGCTTACAGGGAGTCAAGAATAGACCTTTATACCATCTTCTCCACCCACCTTTTTCAAAGATAGTTTAATTCCTTTTAGGAGAGGAAGCAGAAGGTGGGGCCATGGAGTGTCCACTCTCTGCTCTTCTTAGGCAGAGGAAGGGGTACCAGGATAGAACTATTTCTATCTGATCCCTTAAATATTGCTAGTGTAGGGGAAGTAACTTTAAAGTTCAAGCTAAACTTCTTATCAGTATGCATTAATAGTGAAAAGGAGTTTGGTGGCAAAATATCGGAAACTGAGGGGATGGCCATCAGTTGGGGAATGGCTAAACAAGCTGTGGTATATGAATGTAATGGAATGCTATTGTGCATTAAGAAATGATGAACAGGAAGATTTCAGAAAAACTTGGAAAGACTTGTACAAACTGATGCGAAGTGAAATGAGCAGAACCAGTAAAACATTATACACAGGATCAGCAACATTGTGTGATGATCGACTATGAATAACTCGGCTTTTCTCAGCAACACAATGATCCAAGAGAAGTACAGAGGACTCATGAAGGAAAATGCTCTCCATATCCAGAAATGATGGACTCTGAATGCAGTTTGAAGCATACTTTTTTTACTTACTTTTTTATGGTTTTTTCCCTTTTGCTCTGTTTCTTCTTTCACAACTGTAACTAATATGGAAATATTTTTTACGTGGTAGCACATGTGTAAACTATATCAAACTGCCTAGGTGAGAGAGGGAAGGAGAAAAAATTGGAACTCAAAATCTTGTAAAAATGAATGCTAAACGTGTTCTTTTTTTAAGACTTAATTTATTTTGAGTTATCAGCAATCACTTCCATAAGCTTTTGAGTTTAAAATTTTTCTCTCTCCCTTTCCACCTCCCTGCCCAAGATAGTACGCAGTCTGATATAGGCTATACATATACATTCCTATTAAACATATTTTCACATCAGTGATATTGTAAGTAAGAATTAGAACCAATAGGAGGAACCACCAGAAAGAGGAAACAAAACACAACAGAAGAAAAAGAGTAGCAAATAGTATGTTTTGATCTGCATTCAAACTCCATAATTCTTTCTTCTTTGTGGATAGCATTTTCCATCATGAGGCCTTTGGAGAATGTCTTAGATCCTTGTATTGCTGAGAAGGGTTAAGTAGTCATTTCACAGTGTGGCTGTTACTGTATACAACATTCTCCTGGTTCTGCTCACTTCACTCAGCATCAGTCCATACAGGTTTTTCCAGGTTTTTCTGAAGTCAGCCTGTTCATCATTTCTATATTGCAACTTGTTCAGCCATTCCCAATTGATAGGCATCCTCTCAATTTCCAATTCTTTGCTACCACAAAAAGAGCTGCTATAAATATTTTTGTACATGTGGGTCCTTTTCCCATTTGTATGATCTCTCTGGGATACAGCCCTAGAAGTGCTATTGCTGGGTCAAAGGGTATGTACATTTTTATAGCCCTTTGGGTATAATTCCAAATTGCTATCCAAAATGGTTGGATCATTTCACAACTCCACCAACAATGCATTAGTGTTCCAATTTTCCCACATCTTCTCCAACATTTATCATTTTCCTGTGTTTGGTCATGTTGGCCAATCTGATAGGTGTGATGTGGTACCTCAGAGTTGTTTTGGTTTGCATTTCTCTAATCGATAGTGATTTAGAGCATTTTTCATATAGCTATAGATGGCTTTAATTTCTTCATCTGAGAATTGCCTGTTCATATCCTTTGACCATTTATCAGTTGGGGAATGACTTGTATTCTTATAAATTTGACTTAATTCTCTTTATATTTTAGAAATGATGCCCTTTTCAGAGAGACTGGTTGTAAAATTCTTTCCCAATTTTCTGCCTTCCTTCTGATCTTGGTTGCATTGGCTTTGTTTATGCAAAAACTTTTCAATTTAATGTAATCAGAGTTATCCATTTTGCTTTTTGTAATGTTCTCTATCTCCTGTTTAGTCTTCTGTTCTCCATAAATCTAATAGGTAAACTATTCTTTGCTCACCCAGTTTGCTTACAGTATCACCCTTTGTATCTAAATCATGGACCCATTTTGACTTTATTTT